GACGCCCGGCGTATGACACTTTTTGGCAGATGGCTTTGATTTTACGGATTAGGAACTTGGCTGTTTTTGGCGATGCTCTCCTGTACAGAGTACTTTTGTTACATGGACCCAAGAGGTCACTCTATTTTCGGTCTAGAAAGGTCTTTTTTCGTATTGATTTTCGTTATGCGTCGTGTGAAAACGTTACACTAAACCTCCAGTCATCTAGATGCACATTATAACAAGTCATTTGTGAATATTGGAACAGAACCAGCAATGATGACATCCAAGATTACAAAAATACCACCTCTTTTTACATACGTCTCTCTTCCTCCTGTCTTCGCACTTCGTCGCGGAAAGCATTGCGCCCACCTGTGGTGCCCTGCTGAGGGAATGTAGGATCGACAGGGCTACCAGCTAAGCTGCCGAGACCCTCGCTGTCGGCACGAGCACGCTGAGGAGCGTCACGGTATTCACCAGGAGGAGGAACTGAAGTATCGAGCTGGATACCATTATCTCTGGCACCAAAGATACGGCGCTTGGCACGACCAGTATAACCGTGACGAGAACGGCTCGAGATATTGCCGAGTCCGATACGGCGGGTCTTGCGGTTCCAGAGGAAGCCACCGACGACGAGGAGGAAGAGAGAGCCGAAGACGACAGGCAGAGCGATGGTCAGGGTCTGGCCCTCGGGCAACTTCTCGTGGGACTTCTCAGGGAAGTTCTGATCATTGAGGTTGAGGTAAAGAGATGAAGACTTGGTCTTCTCGAGGGAGTTGTTGCTGTTGCTGTAGAGGGTGATGGAGATGTTGTAGGGCGAGTACTTCATGTAGTCCTGCTTGACATCGAAAGGCCAATAGCCCCAAGCGGCGGGGACAGCGGAATCGGTGAATTCCTTGTACTTCACCCATTTTTCACTAGTGCGGTTGTAGAGGTCGAGGCGGGCAGTGACCAAGAGAGTAGAGTTATCAGAGGACTTGGTCTTGTTGAAGTAATCGGGATCCCAAGTAACTAAAAGTCTGTTAGTTAGTATAATTGACGCATCAACGAACGAATTTGTTGCTCACCAAAGTATGTGTTCTTAACATCAAGGGTGCTGTTGGCGTAAGGCGAGCAGAAAGGAGCATTATCGCCATCCTTATTGTAGCATCGCGCAAAGACACCCTCGCCATGCTTGCCGGTGGCCTGGGGGTTGGGAGGCTCGCCAGTACTGGTGTGAATCTTGCCCCAGCTGGTGTAGGTGTAGACACTGGCGGTAAGATCGTGAGGAGGAGCATCGATCAGAGAAGTGGTGCCATCAACGGTGGTATACGAGGGAGTGTATGTCGTCGCAGGCTGCATCTCATCATCGACAGTAACCCAAGCGGCAGTCGGTTCGGCTCGCTTCTCGAGAGCAGCAGCAGGGGCATTGACTTCGAGATCGCGCTCATAGCGGATGACTGTGGCATGGGCAGAAGCCGCAAGGCCAATTGAGGCGATGATCTTTGATGCGTGCATTGTTGTTGTTTTGTTATTGTTCCTTCGGCGATGCGATGCGATGGTTGTCCTTGACACGACGTTCCTTTCCCGGTGAGACTCTGCCTAATCACACACTATAACCGCCGACGGAGAACAAGGGCGACAATGGAAAAGAAAGAGGTAGAGGTTGAAGAGAAGAGGAAGGGAAAAAACAGAAGACGATTAGAAAAGCTGGGACACGGGAGATTTGAATGCCAATGCGAAGCAACCAGCAACAGGAGAGGCCGATCGGTCCGGACGGGACCAACCACAGCAAGGACTGTTTTATTTCGCGCAGGTCTCCAGTGGGTCTGTAACTGTTAGTTGTGTTATTCCTCCAGGGGATGGATAGCCAGGGGCACCTCAGGGAGCCAAAAAGTTCGATCCTCAATTGGCTAGCCAGAATAAGCCAACCAAGGGTCTACTTTACATAGCCTAAGTCTACCCCAGTATTTCTGTCATGTAGTGCCAGGTCTCAAGATTTCTGACCACGGCTGCGGGCATTACGGGGGTTTTAGTGGAAGCTAATGCCGGAGAAGCCGCCAAGATTGGACGAGCCTTCGGGAAGGGCGAGGATGTGAGCGTGATGTCATGGGTATGAACATCCATACATTGAGTTCAAGATCTCTTTATGCATACTTAGACGGAGAGATTAAACAAGCTAAAAAGCTATAAATTCCAATATATTTGCATCCTTTGAACGTGAGCCTTTGTTTCCAGGCCAGGGCGAATATCTCGAATTGGTCTGTTCTCTATGTACCAATACTCCAGCACTTCTTGATATAAGTTAACTCCGTATTCCATATAAATTTCTCCAGATATCGAGAAGTTTGGACAAGTATGAAAAGGCGGAGCAAGATCTCCAATTCAGTTCTGGCAGTCTGTTCCGTAGGTAACTTGTCCCTTCGCCATAATGTCCATTCAACGTAAATCCCCGCGGGCTTTTAAAAGCCCCTCCGCATTGAGATGTTCCCAGTCTGATCCGCTTCAAGTTTGAGAGAAGATTCAAATACTCCCCTTCCTTCTGGACCCTTTGACCTTTGTGCTCCATGGCCAGAATTCTCAGGATCTCTTGTCAAATACCTGTTCAGTTCCAGCATACTCCTAAGATGTATTTGCTTCGTCGTTGAGGACTTTTGTCTAGATTTTGATGAATAACTTCTCAGGAATGGCGCCACAAAGACTTATAAAAGCCTCGAGACACTAAACAAACAAGCACATACTGGTCATAACTTGGTTCGATAAGTTGCCTATTCTACAAACTATATGACGAAGAGATAAGGAAAACAATGAACGAAGAAAGTGGCTCACAATCTCTGGAGTTTTAACAGGAACTCTCTAGTGGTATCTATCTTGCCTTTATGATTTCTCAAGTACTATTTTTCTATGTATTCTAATGCAACAGTTAATAATTCTTAATTGCATTCAGAGAACAGAGGGATGGCAATGGATTGTTTTCCCCTTCTAACACAACTTGACTTCCATGACCTTGCCAGGAGAGCTGATTCCAACAAGAGTAAATCCCATATACTTGTGAGGAGGGCTGATTCCAACAAGATCAAATCGAGTTTCAGACCCTTGAACGATAACTAGCTTGCGAATGTGATGGCATGCTGAAGCGATATCCACAATCAATTTGCGATACGCTCGCTCAAGCTCAGATTCGGTTGCATCTTCAAACTCGACGGGATCTGAAACTGGCCCGTTCAAATACTCAAGGACAGAAGCTCGATCGAAGTGTATGTATGGCATGCTAAGCCAGAGCTCTTGAATCGATGTTTGGTTAAGAAGATCACAGACTGTGCTCAACGAGTCTGACTAGGTAGATGTGAGCTTCTTCAACACATAGGACAGCTTGTCTTTCGAAACGGCAAGTTTCTGAAGTAGTTGACTCACAAAGACTGCAGTCGTCCAGCAAGGATCCCAAAGCATATGCGAACGTCCTTGGATACTAAGGCATTTGAGAGCTTTGAAATGGTCTTTGACTTTCAGAATGATCAGCTCATCTAACAATGGACCCTATTCGTTGGGAGAAATATGGAGCTCCTTCAAAGAGTGTCGGCTTCCAGCAGAAGAGCAAAGACGCACTAGCTCATCGTACATCCGTGTTAAGTAGTCCCCATCAATACCAACTGCTTCGAGGGTCTCTGGAACACAGCGGCTGAGAACAGCGCATAGTATCTCTGGCGAAGCCGAGATTTTGAGACATTTGAGCTTATCCCATTTCCGAGTCCGCATTAAAAGTTGACAGAGGTTCTCTTCTTGTTCCTGGGGCCAGCCTTTGAGAGACAAACCCAACTCTTGCAGTTCGGTCATTTGCGAGATGCTATTGACAAGTAACGGTCCAAGTTTCTCGTACAATGATAGCTGAGTTCCGACGCGCCCGTGCTTCTGCAGGACTACTAGTGTCTTCCTGTGGTAATATTAGGATCATTCCATATGCTCAAGATGTATTGTAACTCGCCTGATAAGGCTGAATTGCCTCATTGCAAGGAAGGACGTGAATAGGTGGGAGAGAAATCTAGGGAGACCTTGAAACCAAAGCCGTCTCAAGTTCCTCGCGACAAAGAAGTCGTAGTACCTTTTCGACACGAGAACCAGGTTTTTCACGTCGTACCCGGCCAGAAAGGATGCAACAATGTCTCGACACTCCTGGGGTAGCCTCTCCATAACTGACAGCGAAGCGTAGGTATTGAGACAACAAACTCGAGAAAAGAAGAGTAGTTGGACGTGCGCAGACGGCTTTAAAAGCTGTCCGATAGTCGGGGGTCTATTGAAAAGAATGATGATGATTCTCCAGTCTGCGCCCAAAGTGTGGTGATCTTGTTGAGATGGGCCAAGGAGGAAGGGGCATAAGAGAAGGGGTCGCATCATTGTAATTTGGAATTACCTACCAATGTTGGATGAACTGTCACTAACTTGGGTAAGCGCGACAGAGCTTTATAGAAGCAGTTACTGAGAGGGCTCTGAGTGTCGATAGCAGCCATCGATAACAGTATTTGTGAGAGCTGAGAGCAGCCGTGCAAAGTATATTTAGGTGAGAGTCGCAGGTATTATCAATCTATTTTCTTTATCTCCACGAAGCAAAGACATTTTGATGATAGAACGAATCGCCATGTAAAGCATACATAATAGACGGAAGGGAAAAAGCGGCTGGCTTGGCTTTGACAAATACACGAGGCATATTTCGGCACATTCAACACCTCGTTAACGCGCACCAAACTATTTCATCTATAGAATACTCACTAGTAAATCCATGAGTCGCTAGGAATCAGAATCATGAGTCCAAAGGTAGAAGTACTATTTGCTACCTACCTACCTAGAGATTAAGAAATCCTACCCAGCACTATCCCAGTCGTCGATTGTATTAGTCATCAAGTATAAATAATCATCAACTTCCTCACCCAATCATCTTCTCAATGCTGCATTATCAACACTCCCAGCACAGCATCATTAGGTATTCTTCTTCCAAACTAAAGATAGCATCTCCTTCATCGCTTAAACCATCATTGAAGACAACGGCTATGTCAGTCACACTGCACACGTCGCACGGCGACATAAAGGTTGAGATATACTGCGAAAGTGTTCCCAAAACTGCAGAGGTTTGTATAATCCAGTACCTGTTTAAACCCAGTCTTTCGCTCACACCTACTAGAATTTCCTTGCCCTCTGTGGCTCCGGCTACTACGATAAATCTCCATTCCACCGCCTCATCCCCAAGTTTATGGCACAGACTGGTGCACCCGCAACACCAAATCCCCCCGAGAATCCCAAAGGCGGACGCAGCATATGGGGAGGCGCGTTTGAAGACGAGATCCGGCCTGCGCTACGACACGGCACTCGAGGCGTGCTGTCGATGGCCAACAAGGGACCCGGAACGAACGGATCGCAATTCTTCATCACGTTCGACAAGGCGCCGCATCTGGACGGACTCAACACTGTATTTGGGCGCGTCATTGGCGACGAGGGTTTCGCGACATTGGCCAAGATGGAAGCTATCGAAGTGGATCGAAAGAACAGACCCAAGGAGCCAGTTCGTATCGAAAATGTGACGATCCACGCCAACCCGATCGCTGGTTGAGATGACGACAATGTCCTTCGTAATGCTTGCCACGCCATGACATTGACCCATGCCTCGAACGAAACTGTACTACTATTACGGCACATCACTGAGGGAAGACGAAGATTGCAGCATATACCACCCAAACTCCATTTTGAAGACCTTCGTTCATTATATTCTCAATCTACGCTCACCAACCAGAATCCCTTAGAGTCCACCAGAATCCTAAACTACCCTTTCTGGAGAACCCCCCAGAGTAAGGTGTCAAGAACAATTAGTCTGAAGGCCTATTGAGTTCTGCTCAACTTACCGAAATCGTCTTATTGTCTAGGATAAAGCTCCTAAGTTTCTTGCCTGTCCTAACCTCATTAGCTGGCATCGGTGGGCGCTCATAATCATCTTCAAAACGTCCCCAATCCAACACTTCGGCTTTTTTCTTGCTTTCGATACGGTAAGGGACCTCCTCGTCCTTCTCGGTGACATAGATCATGTCATTCCATCCGGTCATCTCCATCTGCCAAATGAGCTTCAGGAGTTCCGCATGGCTGCAAGCATCAATGTTTCGTATAGAACAGGTAACCAGGAAAGCCCCCCTGAATTTCCGAGCAAGGAGAAATGCTCGTTGGCTGGGATGGTAAGCAGGAAGTTCGCTGGGCTCATCCCTCTGCCCTGCGGTGATAATGCCATGCAGAAATTTCCACCCTTTCGAACCATCATCAACAATATCTGGTTGTCGTTCCCGTTGAGCCTCTTCGAATGATAGGAACAAGAGGGTAAATTCGCCTTCATAGTCTCGGTCAGGATCCGGAGTCAACGTACCTTCGAGGATCCTTTCGGTCTTGACCCGTTCTGCAACCCTCTCGACATCAACCGTGCCGTTGTATTTCGTGTCTCCGAGAAGATCCAATTTCTCCATAGTAAAAATTAGGGCCTCACATGGTGATCCGCTGTCCATGGACACTGGCTCGCGTTCTGGAGTCGGAGTATCCTCTTGGTTGCATATAACGAAGGAACTATTGGCAATGGCCCATTGGTCCATTGGGTGCGCGAGTATCTTGACGCCTTCGGTCTGCTTTTGTATCAAGCCTCTTTGGCTTGAACGCGTCTCGCCATTTTCTCACATCCTTGATATCGAGGTGGAATATACGGTGCCCTGCGCCACTATTGTCGTTGAAGCAAATCTTGAAGCCAGGGGCGGAGGCCCGCTTGGACTTGGGGAACAACATGCCCGCGAAAAACCGGTAGTTCACCGATCCGTCCAGAGTTCTTGAAGGACACCGATGTCGCTGTGATGCGTTGCGTCTCTTGTGACCTTCTTTATCGTCTCGACCAGCCTGACGACATGAACTAGATCGAAACTGAGACCTTACCGGAAATTTTGAAGCCGCGTGTAATGAAGGAAGAATAACGCGGAGCTCGAGACACTTTATATTAACATGCGGGGATCTGCTAAAAACGGTTAAATCTTGGGCGACATGAACAATTGTGAATAAAGAGTGTTCATCTGAACGCAAGCCCTCAGTGTTTGCGTGGACGACAGGTGATAACAAGATCATAGTTGAAGCTGCTCTGAACAAAGCTATAAATGTGTATTACTTATAATAATTTCCCTATGTTAGAAATTTCATGTGAACTGTGTTTATTGTAGACGTCTCAAACAAATTCTATTGGCATACAGAGCACAAGACAAGGCATAACTAATAGTTTAACAGGCAACTTCGGGTTCTACAGGACTACGGATAAAGAAGTTAGGGAATTTTGTACGACCCGAGCAAGAGCAAAAGCTGACAAGTAATTATTCCTATGGAGAGAGCAAAAAGAAAATCTTGATGAGACTGGGACTCGAACCCAGGAGGATTGCTCCACCAGGAAATTGGTGTTAAGGTTAACCTTAACCTGGCGCCATAACCAACTCGGCCATCTCACCGTAAGGTCGTGAGGACCCGCTTGTTGAACAACACTTTTGCTAGCCAGTATATAAGCACCTAGTGTCCCCATTTGTCCCTGGGCTAATTAAGAATATCATTGATACAGTTCTTTGACTTCCTGCAGGAATAACGTTTTTGTATTATGGTGGAGTTGCGATCGCAGTGTGTTGGTGACAGTATCATTTATTTGTGCAATATTGGTATTGACGACAGAGCATGCTGACGCTTTCAAGGTTGGGCAGAAGAAACCGCCAGATTCTGGACGTATATATCATTATTAATCTTGTCTAAGCCTTAGGATGGGAAACCTAAACTTGGCACAATGAAAGGGATATTATTGCAGTTACTAAACAAAAAATGGTTTCGCGTCTCTCATAACTGCTATATTCCGCCTTTCCTTCCATCTACAAAAGATTCTGTATGATGATGTTATCGATAAGACTCCGTGTGGATCTTTCATGCAGGCCAAGTTCTTAGCTCTTCCAGTCTTCGTCACACGCGACTTGAATTCTACAACCTCAACAAGTAAACACACAATCTCTGTTCACTAAGATTCAAGGCGTCGCAATGTCGGCGATCTATAATCTTGAACCGCAGCCCACTGCCTCAGTTATTATTCACACCACCCGGGGCGAACTCTCCGTCGAGTTATTCGCGAAGCAAACGCCGTTGACATGCCGCAACTTCTTACAACTCGCGCTCGACGGCTATTACGATAACACTATATTCCATCGATTAGTTCCAGGTTTCATATTGCAAGGTGGAGATCCTACAGGCACAGGCAATGGAGGGGAGTCCATTTACGATGGAGGCGCATTCAGCGGCGACCTAGATCCATGGCCGATGGACCAGCGCCAGGGGAAGAATGCAGGACCAACAGGAATCAATTTCAAGGACGAATTTCACTCTCGACTCAAATTCAACAGGCGAGGTCTGCTGGGTTCTGCGAACGAATCGCGCCCAGATACCAATGGTAGCCAGTTCTTCTTCACGCTCGACAGGGCCGAGGAGCTCAATGGAAAGAACACTCTATTCGGACGAATTGCTGGCGACACGATCTACAACTTGGCTAAAATGGGTGACGGGGAAGTGGATGAAGCAACGGAACGACCGACCTACCCTGTGAAAATCGAACGAGTAGAGATACTGGTCAACCCCTTCGATGACATGAAGAAGAGATCTCGAGTGGCTACCCAAGCGCCATCTAATAAAACAGCAGCAGCAACAAGCAAGGATAAGAAGAAGAAACGGAAAGGCGGGAAACAGCTGCTCAGTTTCGGCGACGAGGAAGGTGATGACGACATGCCAGTGCTCAAGAAAAAGAAATTTGATACGAGAATTGTCATGGAAGATGAGGAGGAAGACGAAATCCCCAGGAAGCCAGCAAAGCCGAAAGCCAAGAAGCCAACAGTTACGGAGAAGCTCCCATCAGTCGCAGATGAGATAAATGACAAAGTGCCGAGGAAACCCACGCTTGATCAGCCATCCAATGAAACGCGGCGGAGTCCTGGTTCGCTTACGATCAGAGAGGTGAAGGACCAATCACCTGAACCGGAGGCTCCCAAAAAGACCGCTCTAGAGCGAGCCAACGAGGAGATGGCCGCTCTGAAAGCATCGATGCGACGGACCATTCATGCGGAGGAGCCTGTGAAGGAGAAGAAGAAGTCTGCACTCGAAGCCATGATCCCTGAAACATCAATCAGGGGCCGGAAACGAAGGCCCGGAGCTGCCAACACCTCGGCGAGTGAGGACGCAAAAACACTCGGCATGCTGAAGGCCTTCCAATCGAGATTGGAGAGGGCACCTCCGGAAAAGGGTAACGAACATACAATAACCGGGGTTGTGCGTGAAGAGGGAAGTACACATGCTCCAGATGACGAAGCTGAGTTATGTGATTTACACTTCATCGCAAATTGTCAAAGCTGTACATCCTGGGATAAGCAGGAAAAAGATGAGAGCGATGATGAAGGATGGATGTCTCACTCCCTCAGCTTCGCAGCAGACAAATTAGGCAAGGACCTTAGCAACCGTAAGAAGGCAGAAGAAGAACTTGTTGTCATTGATCCGCGCGAGAAGGCTCGGACTCTCAAGGATGAGAAGAGAGCTGCGCGCGATGCACGGCAGGGAAATTCCGGAAGAGCATGGGACCAGGCACGAGATGCAGCAAGGAATGCTAAGATGGCTCAGGCAGCATCGCTTGCAGGTCGAGGAGCAAAGTAACCGAGAAGATCAGGTACATAGGCCAAGTGTGGTCCAAAGCTGTTGGTGACAAGTGAAGTTTGAGACCATAATAGGAATAGTCTGTCCATGATACCCAGCATAAAAGCATCAGGCCAGGTTAATAGTGCCCCTCCTAGTCTGAGCTGACATGGGATAGGATGACGCCAATGCTTGTTCGCTGAAGAAAAGTGGCATTACGAGTCGTATCTGCCGTCCCCACAATACATGTCATGACCGATCTCGATCCTCGAGGACACATGGTGATGATGAAGTTTTGACTATTTTTCCCATAGTCGATGACCGAATTGATGCAAGTACTTAAAGCGAGACATTCTGTCTCTGAAATTGATAGAGCTTACAGACCTGAGTTGGGAAAAACTGCCAAAGCGCCACCAAGAGGCTACAAAGTCGTGGCTTTCTTCAACGTCCAAGATCGAGATACGTCGTCTTATCATCACGTGAAGACTTGGGCCCATGTCTCTGACAGAAATCTGATTGGCCCAAAAATATTCGACATTCAATCCGCCCGCTCCAAATGCTCCGGAAGACCCATTCGCAGCGCGACCATCAACTCCAGCATCATCACCGTCACGCAAACTGCACCACCGTTCAATCGCAACATCGGTACTTGCTCGCTTCAGCTTCCGGCCTGTGCATCGCCTATTACTTGCCGTTTCAGGATGGGTATGCCGCTCACCATTTCTTATCTTCCTTGATCTATATAGAGCAAGGCCCACCGACCGAGACCACAGGCTGCCCTTCAGCCTTTTTCTTCAGACTACATAACTTGGGCAAACGCGCTGCGCAACTCACACTGCTTTAAGGCATCACTACGCGAGCTCCGTACACGAAGATAGAGCAAACGAGTGGCTGTCCTTAGATCTCAGTACCGCGCCCGCCCATCTTCTCCCTAAACATATCTTTAAGGCTGTGCCTCTTCACCATCAATCACGTTTGACTGTGGCTTTTGCGACAACTTTTCGCATATACCTCCCAAGGCTATCTCGCGATTCCCACCTACTCCCTCGAGACGGTCGAACACTTTCCCTTATCACAATCCGGACACGGCCGAGCAAAAGATAAGTCGTTGACCGCTTACCACGGACAACGTTTGCGCACACGCGATTACAGAAGTCTTAATAAAAGTCACAATTACTCTCTGGGCCATCGCCCTCCCAAGGCACGCATTACGTGAAATCGATTTCCACCAAGGCGACGAGGCGAACTGGTTCCAAGGCGACCAACATCAGCAGTCTCAAACCCATACCCGACTAGATTAGGCATCGATCGCGCCAATCCACAGAAATTTAATCTCACCGCTTCTGAAGAAGCAACGATTGAGCCAGAACCATTTTCATGTCAGCGCCCAACCCAAGGAAACGAGCAGCACCAGGAGCGTCCCCAATGATGCCTATACCGCAGCCAATGCAGCCACAGTACAACGCGGGGAACCCGGCCGGCGACCAGGTGATGCGTTGGAATGGAATGGGCGACCCTTCGAGCTTCATGAACAGTGCTGATGGTATCATGGATGGGAATGCTCATGTTGGGAACTCTTTTGGTCTGGTTCCGGCACAGCCACAATATGCTCAGCCTGTGTCGACGCCATCGAACACACTTGCTCGACGGCAAATGAATCGCGCGCTTGTTCCGACCAATACCCGACCCTATGATGGAGCAGTAGAACAATGGGGAAACTTTGTTGGCGATGATAATGCTCTGCTTCAACAAAACCCCTCTGAGAACTTGAATGAGCAAGACAACGTTGAGATATTGGAGGAGATGGCCCAGAAGGCCAAGCGAGAGGCGCAAGCAAAGCGCAAGCAGATTCCCCCTTTCGTGCAAAAACTGAGCAGGTAGGTTTCCCCACTGCCATAGGGTCGAATAGGCAAACTAACCATGTCAAAGTTTCCTGGAGGAGCGCAAGAACGAAGATTTGATTCGATGGTCAGAAAAGGGAGATTCGTTCATTGTGCTTGATGAGGATGAGTTTGCAAAGACTCTGATTCCAGAACTGTTCAAACACAACAATTATGCATCCTTTGTTCGACAGCTCAATATGTATGGCTTCCACAAAC